AGTAAATATCATAGTCAGCAGCAAAGAATGCGATGTCATCAGCATAAACGTAGACAATAACTTCTTGATCTGTTGGAATTGTGCTCATTAAAGCATTAAATAACACTGGAGATAAGACTGCTCCCTGGGGAACTCCGCGCGTTTGTTTATATCTAGATGAGGAACATCTATTCTTGACGTAGTAGAATTCTCTTGATTTTAAAAGTTCTGCCACCCACTAAATAAATTATTGTGGGAAATTCAATCTCTTTAGCGTATTTAACAAAATGAAGTGTTCCACACCGTCATACGCCTGGGCTATGTCAAACGTTACTGAAGCAGCGTATTGCCTTCTTTTTCGGGCGAGCTGTTTTCGGCTCTCTAAATCAGCATGGGCACACCAAATAGAGAAATCACTACGAAAGCCGATTTGGTTTGGTTTTAATACTAAATTGTCTGCCATCCAGATACTTACTTGTCTATGTAGGACCCTCTCTACTAGTTTGACTATGTTAGATGTTAGAGAGATTGGTCTGATATTATCAACTGTTAATCCTACACCCGGATTTTTTAGTATAGGAATGACCTTTGCTATCCTCCAATACTGCGGCACCCACGAGTTTTTTAAAGGAGTAGTTAATAACATTGGCGATGTCACTCGGCGATAAATTGAATGGAATTTTAATCATGGGTACTGTGATTCTATCTGGGCCAGGAGACGCACAGGGTAAATGTTTAATGACGTCGGCTACTTCAGTCTGTGTCACTTCGTCAAAGTCGGGCTTTGTCGTAGACTTGTGCCAGTTGTTTCGCGCTACTGAAGTAAATCTGCTTTCCAGACCTTTACCTATTGCCTCTAAGGTAGTGGTCATTTCTTGCACCGACAGATTGTCACAAGCTGCATTAACTGGTGATGGCAAGATTTTCCGAGCTCTCATATATCGGAACAGTGCTTTCATATTCTTAGGTTTCGACAGGTATTCATAATGTCTTCTGTCATATTCTTGTTTAGCTTAAGCTATCGTTCTCTTATAGCCCTCTGCAACTAATTTATAATTGGCCCAGTTTGCGGGGGGAGGGGGGGATTGCTTATGTAAGAGCTGCTTCCAAGCTGTCTGACGTCGTTGGTGATCTCTTTTACACTCATCACTCCACCAACGGCTATATACCTTTTTTGTGGATTCAACAGTAAATTCGGCTCTTTCGTAGGATCTTTTAATGACTGCGTTTATCTTCAGTGCTTCTGTATCATCGCTCTCTTCCGAGTGAAAAGCCAATGCTGACCTCAGATCATTCTTAAATTTAGTGTAATTTACAAATACTCTTACATTTGAACAAGATGGAGTTGTCGGGCAAGAAATTTAAAAACTTATCGGTAAGTGGTCACTTGGTCGCTGTTGGTGCCACAGCCAGCGATTTCCAAGAAGAAGTAGTAATGGCCAAACTAACAAAACTTAAGTCTAAAGCCGACCTGGAGTGATTACGAATAAATGTGGGGGTTCTGACGTTGGGGCACGTCAGTTCATTAGCCATTGTCCACTCCCACAGGCGTTTTCCACTCAGATTAGTTCTAAAACCCCAACTCGTGTGGTGGAAATTAAAGTCTCCAACTAGAACTTTGTCCTTGCACCACGACTTTGTAGCTAGATCTAAACTTCGTGTCTTCAACTCCATTCGGAATATACATAACTATGGTGAAAGGACTGCAGTTGGGTAATGTAACGTCTACTGCCGAAACTTCGCATTCTGGCGACATATGTTTGTATGAACATTTAACTTTTATACTAATTCTATCATTAATAAAGAAAGCTAGACCCCCACCTCTTGATGAACGGTCTAGTCAAAAAGACTGGAAGTTATTTAACTGGAACAAATTGTGTACAGATAACCATGTCTCTTGTAATGTTATATCAGGAGCCAATTTAGAAGTCAGGTATACCAAATCCGTAGATGCAGAATAAATTGATCGACAATTCCAATGGAGAATCTTAAGCGACCCTATGGTTTCGAAAGAGCTGCTTCCGCTACAGCTTTATCTAGAATGCTTTCTTTCAAGAAATCTCTCTTTGAAAGGCTCTCCTGTTCCTTCAGATACTTTTTGTTCTTTGTCTGTTTTGGTGAGCTAGTTTTCCTTGACAGAGGAGATATAGATCGCTTCAGGGACCTAGGGTCCAAATCTATATCATCTGAATCCATTGTATCTGCATCTTTGTCCTCACTTATCTACTGGAGAGGGTGTCGCAGACGGAGAATACGATGGTGCGGTTTCAAATTCCTCATTTTGGCTGTGGACGCCTATTGCAGAGGCTCCTGCAGACGGATAATACGATGGCGCAGTTTCAGATTCACCGTCAATTATTGGTCGTGAACTCTCAACATGTCGGGATACTAGGCCTGGCTCTCCTGTTGCACCAAATAGGCGAGTCATCTGGTAAGCCAAAATTTTAGATAGAGAATCACAAAGGTTAGAAGCCAGTCGTTCCATGGCTTTTTCTAGAGCCTTTTCTGTGACCTCCGCGATATTAAGGAAATCGACCCATTCATTTTCGAGATACGCCATGCTGCAACACTGGCATACCCCTGAGTTCTGGCCTGTATTTCCTCTATGGATTTTGTCGATAACCGCCCCTAGGCCCTATAATTTAAAGAATTTGTAATTCTCGAGCCTTAGCTGGGCAATCAGGGCTATCTGCACAGTGTTGTTCGTTGCAGAGACAACATTTCTCTTCTTTAGCTTCGCAGTCATTTGTTTTGTGGTTGTCACCACACACCCGGCATATGAGTTCTGACCTGCATCCTTCAATAGTGTGACCGTATCGCCAGCACTTACGTACACTGGAGTGGTCACGGTGATAGTGGTTCCACTCTGTATATTAGTGGTCATGCCTTGATTTCGCTTGGGAGATTCGTTCCAGCAAAGGTTACAATTACCGACTCAGTCGGGATCTTCTGTTTCTCTACCAGTCGTGCACACCTACAAATGAAGATAGCACCAGTCATGGCCAACATCTCTAATACCTCAGACGGGGCCAAGTTAACATCCACAGCTCGAACAATCCCTTTCACACATGCCAGATGCGGAGGAATAATGTCGCTCACCGGACTGGTCGTGAAACTCGAGCACTTCAGTAGGTCCTGGACACAGAGCTGATCAGATGAAAAACATAGATTACCACGTCTGCCGAACTAGCGGACCTCTGCGATGCTGTGGAAGTGAGACGTCGCAGCTCTAAGCTCCGCCTAGACCACTTTCGGATTCTTCATCCGAATGAAGCCGTCATTGCAAGGGCCGAGGTCCACAGGAACTGCGGGAATGCCGTTGCGCAGAAACTGATCCACTGGTATCTCCTGTGGCAGAAGTGAAGCAGACCAGAGAAAAGCTCCTGGTCCAGGTGAAGAAAACGGCATCTGAGTGCTCTTGCTAGCGCTAAAAGCGCTTACTTAGCTGTAAAAGCACTGTAAGAACACCTGACAAAGACAAAGAAACCACAGCCACTACACAAACTTAGGCCAAAACCCTAGAGCAAGCACGACCAGCTACTTGTGCGTTCGAGAACCAACAAACCAAGCCCTATTCTCACTACGTCCACTACAAGCACACTGCTGAGTACACACTGCAAAAATTATAACTTTTGTGTAGTAGGCTCACATTCGCTATGCTATCCTTCGTCATTCTTCGGAGAAGCGCTGTTCCGCTTCACACTTGCAAGGCATTTTGTGCAAATGTTTTATGCAGTGGCTGACTACGATGAAGAATTATACCTGAAGTGCACCCTGCTGCAGTGGCCAAGTGGAAGCTCGGGTGCTGACCCGCAGTTCGCGGGATCAAATACCGGCTGCGGCGGCTGTATTTTCGATAGAGGCGAAAATGCTGTAGACCCGTGTGCTCACGTTAAGGAACCTTCAGGTGGTTGAAATTTCCGGAGCCTTCAACTAGGGCGTGTCTCATAATGATATGGTGGTTTTTTGACCAGTGGAAATAAGTAATCGAGTCCGATTGGCAAATTCAAGTGCTTCCTGCGAATATTCCTGTTGCAACTTTGAAATTTTGAAACGCGGCCATTGGTAATCACCGAGAGGTTATAAAACCTGGCTAATTTCACAGGTGAAACCGAAACCGACGCGTTTCCCAGTGCATATACAATTCACTTAAAAACGCCCTCAGGGACGACACTGTTCCTATCGCTGTTATCAGCTGTCAGTCTACATACTTCAGGTCGTGGCAGCGTCGTCCCACTGTATGGCCACTTATCGACGCTCATTTATTCTCCTCATCCGATGAAAGGGAAACAGTGTCGTCACCTAGGGCGTTTTTGAAATGAATAGTAGATGCGCTGGGAAGTGCGTCAGTTTTGGTTTCACTAAATTAGTCAGGTTATAATTATTTCCGTAAGTAACGTTCGTACATATTTGAACACGCCTTATGGCACAATTAAGAGATCACCGAAGTTAGCACACAGGTACCTTCCTTTCCCTGATATTTTTCAATATTATCATGGGTGCATTTTTCGCAACACCCTCTATACCTATATGAAGTGGTCGCCACTCTTGTATTGCTCTTTTTTAGAGTATGCCTAGCGGTCCTTGAAGAACTTCATTTCAATTTATCTACTAAGTTATAACCAAACTTTAGTAAGTAGCTTTCATCAGGAAAAAGTAGCAATCACTCCTCTTTTAATTGTTATCACAGAAAAGAAATACTGTGTGACGCAGACAACGAGGTGCGCGTCTTTAAAAAATAAGGGTTGCACTGATCCACCTCGCGTACATAAGGGATGGTTTGATGCCACAACAACAGATACGCTTGAAAAGATGTCTCCATCTACAGTGACAACTGATTGAAAGTGTGATTGAGCTCGCAATACAAGTACATCACGTTTACTATAGAAGCTAGCTGTGGTGACTATCGTTTCAGCCAGATGTTCTCAAAATTTGCACTCAATACAGTTATCCTTAAGTAAAAAAATTGGCACGCATAGGTCTTGACCAATAATGAACTTCCCTACGACTTTCGCCAACAGGCTGGACCACGGAACCTGGCAGGGATTCCCAACTCGAGTACCGGCTCTCCATTTATCATGCCAAGAAGGACGACTCGGGTCGGTACACCTGCATCACGCCTATGGGCCACAAGCACTCCGTCGACATCGTCGTTTCTCGTAAGCACCAACCATGCGGTAGCGCATAAAACTGTGGAGGGCACCCAAGAGTGGCGCTGCGTAAACAGGAAGAATTCGTTGTTTTGAGTTTCTTTAGGTAGGAAAAACACCAAATGGCCGGCCCTCCGGCCGTCCTTTCTATTCCGTACTGGGCGTGTATGCATCTACGTGGTTACCTTGGCCGCTTCTCTGTTCTACGGCTATCCTTTTTCAACAGAGGTGGACGAAAGAGTGCGGGATTAATGCAGGGCTAGGGGTGTCTCGTTATCTTTCGCCCGCTTTATTTAAGCGCTGTCGGTACGTACCAACAGCACACTAAAGCGCCCTTCATGACACAACACCTGTGCGTGCAAAGGTTACATGGAACCGAAAGGCATACTTGATATGTGGGCTTTAACTTCCCAAAGCCACCATATGATTATGAGAGACAACGTAGTGGAGAGCTCCAGAAATCACGACCACCTGGGCTTCTTTAACGTGCGCCCAAATCTGAGCACACGGGCCTACTACGTTTCCGCTTCCATCGGAAATGCAGCTGCTGCAGCCGAGATTCGATCCCGCAACCTGCGGGTCAGCAGCCAAGTACCTTAGCCCCTTGACCACCGCGGCGGGGCGAAAGGCATACTCGACAGCTGGCCTCAGTAAAAACAATTCACGAGTGTGTACAGGGAACCATATTATTTATTGACAGCAAACCAACAATCATGTTTAAATAAAAAAGTAATAAATTTATCGTGTTAGCACCATTATCAGAAGCTCGCAAACGGCACGCCTTCGTTTTAAAAGGCAAAACGAACAGATAAGCGTGTCTCGTTTTTATAGAAACTATAATTAGAAAACATTCATAGAAATCATCATGAGGTGCTTTACTGAAAGCTTCGAATTACAGCTCCTGCTTCCACCGAGCATGACTTAACATCTGCACGTGTTACTGCATTACCAGATAGTGCATTCAAGCTGAGGACACAACAAGGTTGGGTTTTTCGCAAGGAAATCATGGTGGCGCGAAAGTCGAGAGAAGTGCTAGCATTCGAACACGTGCAGGATCAGTGAAAAAATACGTAGTACACAAATACACACCACTGATACTGGTGAAAAGGCCTCAGGGTGAAATCTCCATCACTAAATAACAAATATGCACGTATTGGCAAAAATAATCTACCTGTCATCGCCGTGAAACATTCAGAAATCGATGCCTTTGCCGGTATGACAATTCTTGCGGCACCATACAGCAGTACAGATACTATACGTACAGCAACTGGAGGGACTTACAGAAGCGAATAAAAAATTCTAAAAAGAAAACGGAACGCCGATGACCACGCCAATCATGGGATGAAAACTAACTGCGCATCTGGCGCCCGCTGCCTCCGTCAGAAAGCGGCAGCACGTGTTTTCCGCTTCGTCACGGATAAGAGAATCTATAGTAGAGCTCAGATAGCACCGTGATCGCTAAACAAATTTAGTGCTCAGAAATACTATGCGCGACGCGGAATTCGAATGTTACCCTTCAATTGTGTAGAAAAGAGCATTTTTTCCCAAAATGGGGGCTCTCACCGCTTGAAATTGTGAGCCTACTATGGTGCCTCTTGCGGATATTTTGGCGTCCCTGACGGCAGATTTAAACGAAGCCACTATGGTTCTTCTTTAGCTGCCGATTATTCGCCCCCGTTCGGTGATGGGTGGAACTTCAGACTTTCTGAGGTCTGACAACTTCCTCCCCCTTATAGACGATACCATCCGAAACCGGTAATCACCGTGAAGGGGCAGAAGGCTGCAATCTTGCCTCTGGTTTTATATCACCGAAGTCTGGTTCTTTTGCTGTCTTCAAGATGATGCGAAAAGAGGTTGCGGTTGCTTTCGCTCCCGCTAAAACGCGCTGCCATCAGCGGCCAGAGCGCTCCAGGCCACGTGTTCCCGGGATCCCTTTCATTAAATATTGACAGCGTATCGCTCACTGTTTCATCGACTGCCTAAAGGGTTCTGCATTTTGAAGTTACACAGTCAATGTGTGTCAAGAACATTCGGTATCGTGAATCTTCTAATTTTTTGAAAAGGTTTTTTTAGTGACGCACGCCGTGCTGCACGGGATCATGTTTTCAAAGATACTATAGCGTAAAAAGTTTTGGTGAATACCACCCATGAAACACTGCGGTCCCCGCGTTACTATAACCGACATTTGCAACACCATGTAATCTGCTATGGGTATAGCTTCTGCGGCATCTACACTTTCAAGCGAAGGCGGGCAAGATGGCTGAGGACGTGTGCACAACAGATCCTTGCACGACGCTCAATTAAGTAGCATAGTGCATGCGGCACTGGCTGCGCTGATAAATTGAGAACAAAGGTGCTTCTTTTTGAAACCGCGCCAAAAAAGCTAGTCTTTAAGCTAGGATACTTACACATAAACTTCTTTTCGCATTGTTTACAGTACAGTGTTTTTACCATAGTGGAAAGCACTTGGCCTATTCACCAGTATAGTTACTTTGTAGTTGTCACATATAGGTTAGACAGAGACGGCAATCCTTCGGAAGATCTTGTCCAGTGCGTTCTCATTATTAAGCCACGATGCGTTTAGGCTCCTCCACACAAAAGAACAGCTTAAGGAATGGCCTTTATGGCCCCGCTATACCGGGTGTTCAAAGTTAAGGTTTATGGTTTTCTTAAAATTCAGCACGGGGAAGAACATCACAACCACTTTTGCCGATGGTTTGTGTATCCAGGGGGACACAAATCGAGACAACGGTGACTGTCAGTGCACAATTAACTAAGATTTAATAATTAACTTTTTAATAACTGCAGCAAGTGGCCATATTTGTATTGAAAAATTGGAGGCAACACAGTTACACGACAATATTCTTCTAGCCTGTCTGTGCACCAAGATATTCCGAGGCAAGGTTTAATTGTGAATTGCACGATTGCGCATGCAGGGCCGTGAAGATCGGCGCAATGTTCGTCCTTGATGTGATGGACAGTCATATAGCTTCCTATCACCAGCCGGTAGTAAAAAGTAAACGATATCATCTTTGACCCATTGTCAGAATAAACGACGCCGGCCACTGCCGCGGCCCATCAGGGAGGCGCTTCGCGCCAGTGCTGACTGTCTTGCGTGCGTAATCATGCTAAGCACAATAAAATTTACGGAAGGATATCTCGGACAACAGCTATAAAAGAATTCTTCCAAGTGTAAATGTGTCGAAACGCGACGACGCCTCTAACTTTTGAGTACAAATATTGCCGCGAACCATGCATTGGGTTTGTTTATTTGTGTTTTGTTTTTTCGGCCTGGCTGCGCCGGCCTGTGCTATCACTGTTTTCACAGCGTTTCGAACAAACGCTATCACAGCGTTTCGAACAAACGCTATCGAACAGCGCTTCGAGCGTTCCAAACGAACAGCGTTTCGAACAAACGCTATCACGGCGTTCTCGATACAATTCGACTATTCGAGAAACCCTCGCGCCGAGGGATATTAATTTCCGCACAGCCGATGCCGCGACATTCGATCGCCGACGCTCACTTGCGTGCCCGTCGTTTTGCCGGCCGCTGCTTCGCCGCCTGTGTATTCTTTCAGTTGTTAGGGGAGCACAGGTTCGCTTCAATAAACTTGCTTTCTTTGCAGACAACTGTGTCGTCCTTTGCTGCGTGACATCTGGTGGAGGTGCGGGGTCCATGAACCCTAAGCCATTGCCAAGCCGACAAGCAAGCCCAACACGACAAGCACGCCCAACTCGTGTCAGCCGCCGACAGCAAGGCCTTCAGCCAGAGTTTGGACTGCTCCCGGATAAAAAAAAGGAAAGAAGACGTAAAAACCACGGTGATCAACGCAGGCACCATGACCAGCGCTACCAACCCTCCCGTCGTTCTGCAACAACCTCGTGAGCCCCCATCATTCCGATGATCTCCTGGTGAAGACCCGGAAGAGTGGCTGGAGAAGCTGGAGCGCATCCGTGTCTTTAACAGGTGGGATGACGAAGAAACGTTTCGTCATGTCTTCTTCTATTTGGAGGATGCAGCTCGAACGTGGTTTGAGAACCATGAAGGCTTCCTAACCGACTGGACTGTCTTTAAGAGCGAATTCCTCAAAACATTCGCTACGGTTGTGCGGAAAGAACGAGCCGCCCTTTTGTTGGAGACGCGAATGCAACACCCTAACGAAGGTGTTGTACTGTTCGCTGAGGAGATGAAGATGCTGTTCCGGAGAGCTGACCCCGAAATGGCAGAAGAGAAGAAGGTGCGCTTTCTGATGCGGGGAGTTAAACAAGAGCTCTTCGCTGGACTCATCCGCAACCCCCCTAAGACCGTCGCTGAGTTCGTCACCGAGGCTTCGATGATCGAAAGGACCTTGGATATGCGTTCGCGGCAATACGATAGACCACTCAACACCCTTTCGGTGAACCCGGTAAACGCCCCTGGATTGGCGACGGAAGACTTGCGGGAGACCATCCGCGCCGTCATTCGCGAGGAACTGAGGAAATTGTTCCCAGCAACGCCGCAGCCCCAAGTCGCCTCCCTCACTGACGTCGTCCGCGAGGAGGTTCAGCAAGCACTGGGGAATTCCGCGCCATCGGAAGCATCGTGCGAACCACAAGCGATGACCTACTCCGCTGCTGCTCGTCGACCTCGACCCGTCCCAACCCGTTATCAAGAGGCCCCGCCGTACCGCCGCCCAATGTCGCCCGTCCGACCCCCTGTAACCCGAAACCAGGCGCCCAGGAAGACCGAGGTGTGGCGAACGCCAGATAATCGTCCACTGTGCTACCACTGCGGAGAGGCCGACCACGTCTACCGCCGCTGCCCGTACAAGAGGCTGGGTTTGCGTGGGTTCTCCGTCGACGCACCCCGCCCGCGAGCCGGCCAGCGCCCATTTGAGATCGAAGAATACCTGTCGAACACCAGCCGTGGACCATCCCGTTTCAACCGTTCGCCGTCGCCCTACCCGTACCAATCCCCCAACCGTCGCAGCAATGCTGACTTCGCCCGTGGAAGGTCCCCCAGCCCACGAGGGGAAACTAAAAGCAGCAACTTCTGGAGGTGAAGTTGCACAACGGCGAGAAAATGAAAACCCTCCAACGACGCAAGACCGTGATTCACGACATGCCCTCATCCCGACGACCCGACGACACCATGACGAGACCCCCTAAAACGACGACAGCTACGCTGCGCGACGCGTACCCGAAATGACGAAGCCTGCCGGTGAGAAGACGACGATGACGACGCATAGTGCCCGACCATCAACACGCGCAAGCCGCGATATGACGCCCCGACGCATCCCGAAATTCGAGGAAAGCGGCATCCGACGTCAAGTTGTCCTATCGACGGCCTTGACGTAGTCGCCCTCATCGACACGGGAGCCGACTACTCGGTCATGAGCGGGTCATTCGCGTCCAAGCTAAAGAAAGTTACGACCATATGGAACGGTCCGCACATACGCACAGCAGGAGGCCACCTCGTGACCCCAAGTGGAATGTGCACATCGCGCGTCACCATAGACGGCACTGCCGTACCCTTTCGGAGTTCGTCATTTTGCCTAACTGCTCCCGCGACGTAATTCTCGGAATGGACTTTTTGACGGACAATGGAGCAATAATTGATCTGCAGACCAGGTCGATAACGTTTTCTTCCGATCACTCCAAGACGCCGCAGCCGAACCTCGGACACCGTGCTGCTGTAACGATCGCCGACGATCACGTCACTCTGCCACCCCACGCAAGCTTGATGATCGCTGTCTATTGTGAAGGTGCTGCTCCTGACGTCGACGCTGTCGTGGAGACTGACCAAAGGTTGCTTCTAGACCGCGGTGTGTCTGTCGCAAGAGGCATTGCGCGGTTTAAGCAACGCAGATCCTACGTTTTCGTCACCAATTTCACCGAGGAGTACTGGCATCTAAACAAGGGCGCTGCGATTGCGTTCCTCGAAGAAACGCAAGAAGCGAGTCAAGTGATCGTGGTCGCCACCTTTGAACGCGCACGCTGCAGATGCTTCCAGGCTGCCACATCCTTTCGACGTGAACCCGGCGCTGTCGCAAGAAAATCGGGACAGATTACTGGAGTTGCTCCGTCGCTACAGCGAGTGTTTTTCCTCGAACGCGAAGTTACGTCAGACACCTTTGGCGAAGCACCGGATAATGACCGAAGATGGAGCCCGACCTACCAGACAGTCACCGTACCGCGTTTCTTCACACGAACGCGTAGCCATCCGGATTCAAGTAGATGACATGCTCAGCGACGACATAATACAGCCATCGAATAGTCCGTGGGCTGCGCCGGTTGTACTCGTGAAGAAAAAAGATGGCACTTTAAGATTCTGCGTTGACTACCGGAGACTAAACAAAATCACCAAAAAGGACGTGTACCTCCTGCCACGAATCGACGACGCCCTCGACCACCTCTGCCACGCCAAGTACTTCTCATCCATGGATCTGAAGACCAGCTACTGGCAAATTGAAGTGGATGAGAGAGACCGAGAGAAGACTGCATTTATAACCCCGGACGGTCTATACGAGTTCAAGGTGATGCCGTTTGGGCTGTGCACGGCGCCCGCAACGTTTCAGAGAGTCATGGACACTGTGCTAGCAGGCTTGAAGTGGCACACTTGCCTCGTATACCTCGACGACGTTGTCGTATTCGCCCGGACTTTCGACGAACACCTCACAAGGTTGGAATCTGTACTCTAGGCCATTCGTACGTCGGGGCTAACGCTGAAGTCTGAGCAGTGCCGTTTCGCGTACGAGGAACTCAAGTTCTTGGGTCATGTCGTGAACGCCGCGGGAGTCCTACCTGACCCGGCCAAAACATCAGCCATTGCGAACTTCCCAAGGCCGAAAGATAAGAAGGGTGTGCGAAGGTTTCTCGGACTGTGCGCATACTACCAGCGCTTCGTCATAAACTTCGCACACATTGCAGAGCCACTCACGCGCCTGACGAAAGAAAGCACCCCTTTCAGATGGCAAAACGACCAAGAAAAGGCATTCTGCGAGCTGCAACAACGCCTGCAAAACCCGCCCGTGCTCGCTCATTTCGACGAAAACGCCGAAATGGAAGTGCACACGGACGCCAGTGATATCGGTTTGGGTGCCGTCCTCGTCCAAAAGCAAAGCGGTTACGAAAAGGTAATCGCCTATGCAAGCCGTGGTTAGTCAAAGGAGGAGAGAAACTACTCTGCCTCCGAGAAAGAGCGCCTGGCTATCATATGGGCCATTTCAATATTTCGCCCATACGTCTATGGTAGACCGTTTAAGGTTGTGACAGACCATCATGCGCTGTGTTGGCTCGCCAATTTGAAGGAACCCTCTGGCCGTCTTGGGCGGTGGAGCTTGCGCCTGCAAGAGTTCGACGTTACAATATTCTACAAATCCGGCAGGAAACACTCCGACGCCGACTGCCTGTCCCGTGCCCCCGTCGACCCATCACCACAGGACTCCGATGAAGACAGCGCGTTCTTCGGAGTCGTGACAGAGAGCGACCTAGCCGCCCAGCAGCGTGCCGACCCTGACCTCCGCTCCATGATCGACTACCTCGAAGAACGCAACGTCGCCGTGCCTAGGGCGTTCAAGCGCAACTTACCAGCATTTAGCCTCAAAACCTCCATCCTAGTGAAAAAGAATTTCAACCCCGGAACGAGAACGAATTATCTACTTGTCATCCCCGCAGACCTTCCATGACGAAATTTTGGAAGCGTGCCACGACGACCCGTCTTCCGGACATCTCGGAACATCTCGCACGATTACGAAAATCAAGGCGAAATACTTCTGGCCCCGCCTTACATCCGATGTCACCCACTACGTCCGGAGCTGCCGTGGCTGCCAGCGACGAAAAACACCACCGACGAGACCCGCCGGACTTCTGCAGCCGATCGCCGTCCCAACGAGGCCCTTCCAACAGATCGGAATGGACCTTCTGGGCCCGTTCCCTACATCTCGATCCACGAACAAATGGATTGTCGTAGCGACAGACTACATGACGCGCTACGCAGAGACCACCGCTCATCTTAGGGGAACTGCACAAGAAGTTGCAAAGTTCTTTATTAACCAAATCGTGCTGCGACATGGAGCCCCTGAGGTCCTAATCACGGACCGCGGAATGACCTTCACTGCGGAGCTCATGCAAGGAATCTTACGCTACAGCAACACAGATCTCCGAAGAACGACGGCGTACCACGCCCAAACGAACGGACTAACGGAACGGCTGAACAAGACAATCGCGGATATGCTGTCTATGTACGTCGACGTTGAACATAAGACGTGCGACGAAGTCCTCCCGTACGTCACGTTTGCGTACAACACGGCTATCCAAGAAACCACGCAGATGACACCGTTCGAGCTCGTCTACGGAAGACGGCCGACTACAATGCTCGACGCCATGCTTCCGCACGTAGAGGACGGCGACCTCAACGCCGACGTGCAAGGATACCTCCAACGTGCGGAGGAGGCCCGCGAGCTCGCTCGAGTTCGTATAACGGACCAGCAACTGGTGGATGCCGGACGCTACAATCTCCGACGCCGAGACGCCGAGTACCATTCTGGAGATCGTGTGTGGGTTTGGACTCCCATTCGACGACGTGGACTCGGTGAGAAACTTCTACGGCGCTATTTCGGACCCTACCGGATTCTACGACGTGTTGGCGAACTAACGTACGAAGTTATCCTCGATGGTGACTCCCGTACATCACGACGACGCACGCGGCCCGAAGTCGTCCATGTGGTTCGCTTAAAACCTTTCTACGGACGATGACGAACTTTTATTTTAATTTGTTTGGACTGTCCCCTATGTTAGCATCGGGTCGATGCACTCTTAGAGGGGGGGGTAATGCCGCGAACCATGCATTGGATTTGTTTATTTGTGTTCTGTTTTTCCGGCCTGGCTGCGCCGGCCTGTGCTATCACTGTTTTCACAGCGTTTCGAACAAACGCTATCACAGCGTTTCGAACAAACGCTATCGAACAGCGCTTCGAGCGTTCCAAACGAACGGCGTTTCGCACAAACGCTATCACGGCGTTCTCGATACAATTTGACTATCCGAGAAACCCTCGCGCCGAGGGATATGAATTCCCGCACAGCCGATGCCGCAACATTCGATTGCCGACGCTCACTAGCGTGTCCGTTGTTTTGCCGGCCGCTGCTTCGCCACCTGTGTATTCTTTCAGTTGTTAGGGCAGCACAGGTTCGCTCTAATAAACTTGTTTTCTTTATAGACAACTGTGTCGTCCTTTGCTGCGTGACAATATACCCGCTTACTGCAGTCATTCAAATATTAATTAATAAAAATAGGCAATTGGGACACTGACAGCCATAATTATTGTCTCACATTGTGTCCCCCTGGATACGAATACATAGGTTACCTCGAAAAATGCTTTTTATCTTTTTTCAGTGCTGAATTTCAAGAAAACTCCGAAGCCTAACTTTGAACACTCGCAGTAAGGAGGCATGGTAGTTCACTACAAGTTTGCGCGCAGCCTTTTCACACCTTGCAGCACGATAAAAATACGGCCATGATTGAAGGCTTGCAAATTTCAAATCCACTTTAAGTAAACGCCTTACGAGTCATTTGTGCATTTAAACGCAACGTGCGGAGATGCTGCATGTTTGAGATCTCCCGATTACTTTTGTTCATCAAAGGCTTTATAATGCGCACCCACTGCTCGGTAAATCATCGCTTTTGCATCCCATCAGAATTCGGTCGTCATAAGCGAGAATGTAAGCGGTGATCTCACGCTAAGTAGCAAAACGCCACGTGCTCTGACCCACCGCGGTGGGTAAACAGCAGGTCTACAAATTTGTGTCAATTTTCGCGCTTCGTTTTCATAGAAGCGGGGTGTCAGTAGCATCGAGGCGGAAAGTGCGTAATATTGTTGCATGATGATTATACGAGATACTGGCAGTATATAAAATTCGTTGTCTTACGGTGCCCTTTTCAGCGGTGCACTGTCGTCCACTGCCGAGCGTGAGCGGGTTGTCGGTCAGCACCGCGACGACGCGGATGGGCACCAAGGTGGTCTTCTCGTGCGATGAGGGCCAGCGGCTACGCGGCAGCCAGCAGGCCATGTGCCTGCCTTCAGGGAACTGGTCAGCGCCTCCTCCCATCTGCCAAGGTCAGCGCGCATGCTTGTACTTGTTATTCACACCTCCATATTACCCGCGTCCATGCATATCTATATTCTATAAGAATATTGTGATGGGCCTCAATGCATAGGCTTTCCGTAATAGCGAGGAATTTCATGAGAGTAGCCTCGAAAGCCTATAAGTACAATTCTTAAGACAACTGTCCCAGCTCTTTACGTAGTAGTGATTACATAGGAATGGCACACAAGACGCTTGCGCCACCTTCATTTCAACAAAAGCGGTGAGCGTATACGTGACAGTAATATTAAGTGCAGGGGTGTCACGTGCCGAAACCAAGATAGGACTGAGGCACGCCGTAGGCACGACTTCGGATTCATTTATACCGCCTGGGCTTCGTTAACGTGCACCTATAGCTATAAAACACGCGTGTTCTTCGCGTTTCGCTCCCATCAAAATGCGCCCACAGTGACCGGGTATCGAACCTGCACCCTATATACGTGACAACTCGTCACAATAGCTGCCGGCTTGCCGATCAGTAACATTTTGTTGAAGATATGCATAGTTACGGTTGTATCTTTTGCTTTTAGTGTTTTTCCCGGTGAATTTAGATCCATAGAAGAAAATAAGCTTATTCAGCTAGTCATGAAATTTCGCTTCGTTAAGGAGCATAAACTATTTCATGCTATAGCTCTCAGCAGCTTCCACGCACATAAATTTTCCCCGTAGCCATGCTTGCGCACTTTCGCGTGTTTCCTGTCCAGTGTGACGTTTCTAGCGCCGGCAAAGTCTCAAGACTTCATTTGCTACACTGCAGTGGCCGAGTGCCACGACATCACCGGTGCCTCTGATGGCCTCGTCGTGGTGAAGGCCGAGCAGCGGGCGGTCGGCTCTCGGGCGCACTTTTCATGTCCCTTGGGCTACGCACTGCGGGGACAGGCGTCCGTGGAGTGCCTCGACACTGGCCAGTGGTCGGATCACTGCCGCGCTGTGAAGGTGTGTACTTCAGTGGTGAAAACATTGTCTCAGAGCGGAAACCACGAGGCAGCTGCTTGCTCGCATGACCGAGAAATAGAAACGTCCGGGTCGTCGATAAAAGATCTGTCACGTTTCAGGTACCTGCCTGAAGAGGACAGGTTCAGGTAACTAATTCGTTAATAAATGAGCGTCCGAGCGTATACAAAAAAAAATTGTTGCCTTCATACGATTCCTAGCGGCCGTTCGTCAGAACACGCCTTTTTTGACATCACGCAATTCAAAAAGTAAACTGTGCACGCCTGTATTCAAAAAAATACCTTGACATTTAATTTCTTAATTGCGCCAGCTAAGTCTAACTCCTCACATTATTCGCAAACGTGTAAATTCAGTCGCAATGAGTGCTTGAGAAGAAAAGCTTTGTGTTTTTTTTCCACGGTACTCATACTGAAACCACTTGATTGGGATGCGCATATCAACAACATACGGTGAAAATTCGGCAAAGAAAACGGTATGCTATGTCTTCGCAGATATATATTCTACAAGCAACGATCGAGTTGTGATCTACAACGTATTTAAAATTTCAATACCTAAATGTTGTCACACTGTCTAGGGCACAAGTACGAAGCATAACATATCGAAGATTCTTGCTCAGTAACGGATAGGGTTGGTGCTAACATACCTCAGCGTGCCCATACAGCAAAATATTCTCAGCTTAGCATGGTTAAAGGGTCAAACCTTTACGCTTTCAAGATGACCCACGTAAACAAGGATGTATGACGAGAAAATAATGTAGGCATTCTGACACTGCTGAACTTTAATAGTCGTGTGCCCGCATACAGTGTATCACTTAGACTCGAGCAGTACTTGGATTTGGGCTAGTTGGACCATTATCGCACTTGTTAGAAAACGGCGGCACAAAGACGCGTGGCATCTACTTTGTTTCATTGCTCTTGTGTCTTCACGCTGCCGCTTACTTGAAAGCCTGGTTAAGCATTAAACAAGCAGTTAAACATTTCAATAAAGGCCCAGCGCTGTACATATAAGGTTACTTTCTCTGAGTTTCGTCCAATATTCGGATGAAATCACTTTTGTTTCTTGTATGTACGTTATTTTTTTATGTTTGAATCCTACGATGGTAATCAAATACATTAATGTTACCGATTTTCTTCTTGTGTTTGCATTGATTTGCACTGTATGTATTTTTTACCCCTGTTGCTTTCATTTTGGCGCGGGTTCAAAATTCTTCTCATATTTTTCGACGCTACGGATCTTTTTCCTTGCGTTCCGCTCTCGTTTGTGTTTATGAAGAGAGGAATAAAATATTCTATTTAATTTTTCCTCGCTTTTAAGCAACATAATCGTGCTCTGGCTGATGCAAGAACGCTCTTTCCTATCTCTCGCATTCCGGCCGGTGGTGAGCAGAGGTGGTGTGTTCGGCAATGCCTGCTCCAGAGAACGGCTACGTGGAAAGTGAGCATGGGTCACAGTACCGCGGTGGTCAACAAGTGCAGTTCGCCTGCCGGCCGGACCACATGATGCTCGGCGCTGCTGTGCTCGAGTGCCTGGACAACGACCACTGGAGTGGCACCGTCCCCGAGTGTACGATTCCACCACATTCGCAATCTTTGCTTTGAGCTCTTCATTCCTTACTTGATGAATTTTGCTCTTCTTTATCCACGTGGATGATTGATTGATATGTGGGGTTTAACGTCCCAAAACCACCATATAATTATAAGATGTGCCGTAGTGGAGGACTCCGGAAATTTCGACCACCTGGGGTTCTTTAACGTGCACTCAAATCTGAGCACACGGGCTTACAGCATTTCTGCCTCCATCGTAAATGCAGCCGCTACAGCCGGGATTCAATCCCGCGACCTGCGGGTGACTTTCTTGGGGTAACTTTCTTCAATCTCTTTCTTCCTCTATCTGTATCTTTCTCTCCTTCCCTCAGTGTGTCGGTGGGGGCACCCGAGCATAAGCGCGCTTGTGTGCGTGTGCGTGTGTGCGTGTGTGTGCGCGTTCGTTCGTTCGTTCGTCATGGTATTGTACATAACCCTGTGCTCTGCAATCAAACCTTATACAAAGCGAGGAAGCATTTTCAATAAAATTAAAGTTAATCGTACGCATCTCGCATAACTATACCATATAGTGGTATTTGAGAATAGGGCCGCTGCTAGTACATAAGTGGATTTCACTGTCTCTTCGCGTTGTAAACGCAAACTGAGCTGAGCTAAAGCAATATAATTTTATCATGCACCAACTCGACCAGTCAGCAGCACGTATAGATGGGTGTACGAGCCATCCGCCAGCCGACATAATGCACGCCCCAGCAATCGCGCCATTTTGTTCAGTTTACAGTTTTGCTCAAACGACTAAACCCCCCCTCTCCTCGCTTCATTTCATGCTCCTTCAAGGTGGGTAGGGCGTTTTCTCTCTAATTGAGCGGCATTTCGACGGCAGACCTCGCAAGTGGAGAAATGTTATCGCATGCACCCTCCGAGTGACGGAGATATAGGCCGGCTTGTTTAATTTCTGCGTCAGCCATGTTGGGCGCCCCCGCTCACGAAGGCGCTTTTACCCGCCAGTGGTACATATGATGCTTCGATCTTATGAATTTGTAATTTATACGAGACATTAAAGCGACGACAGAAGCCCGTGGAGAATGTCCATAAAATCGCTGTCACAAAAAAAACTTCAGAAAAAGTACCGGATCCCGTAGGTGTGCTGATTGCTGGCTCTGTTTTCTACACAAGAACGCAGTGAACCAACAAAGTGTGCCTGAACATCCTGGTACAAGAAATGCTTGAGATACTATATAACAATCATTTTATTAAAATAAATCTCTATATAACTGCTATTCTTGGTTTGGTGCACTTGTTTGGTCGATGTCTCTCCAGTAGAAGACAGTTTAATATTACCCTGTATACGGAACTGGCCCTCCCTTGCAGCCATGTCAGATAGCCATTCCGTGGCCCGATAAAATGCCTGTCCACATAAGTAATCACATATCGCCTGATGACACAGACGTAACAGCCAAAACTTTCCCTCCATCTATTCCGTTGAACGACACTCCTGGGCCCAGGGAAACAAGCATTGGTATCTTGAGCTACACTGCTTGCCACAATGCGATTGTTGCTCCTAATTTCATCTGATGTTTTGCCTTCAGTGTTTCTGATGCAGCAATTATGCTCGACTTTGTAGCTGTATAGAGTGATTCATTAGTACTTAGTTCGTTACTTTGTATCACAGAACAAGAGCGTATCACAGAACAAGAGCGTGTAATTGGAGACTAAGCCTTGAACACGGGAATTAGGCAAGAGAGAGAGAGAGAGAAATAAATAGAGAGGAAATGCAGGGAGGTTAACCTAAGCTTGGCTCGGTTGGCTACCCTACACTTGGGGTGGGGGAAAAGGAGAATAATAGAACAGAAAGAGACAGAAAAGAAGAGGAGTAAGAAAGAGAAGCATAAATAGTCAGCTCGAGACTACACAGCACGGCCTCGCACAGTTCTTTCACAAGCGGTCGTGAAGTTTGGTGGTCTTTAAAAAGTACAAGAAGGCTTTCGTGGCTTTGCGCGTATGGGAAGCCGTCGGCCAAGATCCCAGGATCTTCTCTTCTGTAAGCGGCCGTGAATCCAGCTGACAGAGCTTGGCTCCCGTAATACGTCGTTCGGTCTGGTATGCTGGGCAATGACATAGAATGTGCTCAAGCGTTTCCTCGCAGGCGCAGATATTGCATGTCGAAGTGCTCGCCATTCCAAGGAGACGAGAGTACGAATTCGTAAATGCCACGCCCAACCTCATGCGACACAGTAAAGTTTCAGCGCATTATAGGATCCCGGATGGCAAACGAAGTTGTGTGTTTGGGCCGATCGAATACAGGTGCGTGTTGGAGAAACCCTGCAAAAAGTATAAAATAGAAAGCTCGTGGTCGTGCTATGAGCAGCCACGTGAATTTCAACAGGCGAAAAACCGTGTGATCTGTTTTAGTTTCCTCGTCTTAACAATCCACCAGATATTGGTCCACCATTAAAATTGACGCTACTATAGCTCGATAGGTACGACTTCACCTTTCCAGTGGTCATTATGGGGCCCGCATTTTACAAGCCGTAAAAATAAGTAAAGCGCCAAACACTCTTAAATTGAATTTCAGTGTCAGTTTTATGAAATACGATCCATTTTTTTTAGCGAACCAAAGAAATTTTGACCATTTCTCTCTATTTACCTATCTAGCCCGCCTACGTAATGGCGCTGTCCCGCAGCCCTCATTACTTGATACATACTATAACTGACACAGGAGAACACCACCGTATGAAGAAGGCAATTTGCTGGTCATGGCATCAATAACGTGATCTTCTTGTTACGTAACTCATGAAATCCTTTCCCCAAGTCTCATGCGGCACATATCACTGGCATACTGCTGCCCGTGGTATGCGGTATAGGCGTCAAAGGTGCTTGATAATCTATATCGACCCCGTCTTTGAAAATCTTGATGCGTCAGCGTTAGGGAGAGCCCGTATCACAAAAAGGAACACGTGTCGTGATTGTCGATGAGTGAAATATTCTGACGGAAGCAAGGATTAAAAATCACGAATCGAGCCGGACTAGAACCCATTCTGCATATAGCAGACAAGTATTCTACCACAGAACCAAGCCAGTATATAGTTCAAACTACAATGCCAAATGTCGTTGCAGAGCTTGATATCCAATTTTACATCAATGCGATAAACATTACACACGTGTGCATACGACTGAGTAAGCTATACTCCATTGTTGCACTTGACTACATATATGCAGTCATTAAACCCTAGCGCGCATTTCGTGGCTATAAAGTTGACGTCTCTACTCAAGCGTGATTGCCGACGTAATCTCGGGCCGTTAGATGCCCTTTACACGCCAGTGTACAAGGCGTGAGTGGTAAACGCACGGTAGGCGCATAACTTCTCAATTTACACAAAAGCATCCATCCACCTCGTATCGCTTCACTCAAAGCAAAGAAAATCGGCCTAGCTTGTTATGCGCTGGCTGCTTCGCATAACATTAATTGCAACAAAGTTAATGGGTGGCGTCTGCCGGCTTTATCTTCATCAATACAATCACGAAGAAGAAAAAAAAACAGAAAGAATTGCCTACAAAAATTTCTAAAAGCAACGGGCAGCGAATGCGAACATTGTGCGGATATCTCCAGAGGGTGCTAAAAATAGCCGAACGTTTTAGTTACAGTGTTGGTACGATGAAAATATAGCTTTTGCAAGGGAGTTTAATAGCAACGCCAGGTAGTAGGCGGACAGCCGGTACATACACAAATGTTCGGGCAGCCCAGCGTCTATAGCTCGTGCACACGCTCGCGCTTCGCACTCATGGATGGTCCCACTAGTCAGTGCCTTGCGAATTCCCCACTACAATACCCCGGTCACGAAGACGAGCCATCCTGGCGACTCGAGGTAATGAAAGAACAGGAGGGTCATAGCAGGGCTTGAGGCGACTGACGTGGACCATCTCACGACCAAGGCGACGCTTGTACGTAGACGACTTGAGCGGTTCAATCACATAGGTGACAGAAAAAGGGTGCTGTATGACGCGGTAAGGGCCAGTATACTTCGGTGCAAACTTGGGAGTCAGTCCAGGAGAGTGGAAAGGCAGTCGGAGCCACACGATAGAACCGACGGGGAAAGTGTCCTGAACAAGATCACGGTCGGGGCGATTTTTTTGGAGGGCTTGATAATCGGCTGTGAAGGACCGTGCAAGCTGACGACACTCTTCGGCATGTTCGGCCATATCAGAAACTGGGCTGAACTCGGAGGCATCAGGATTGCATGGCAGAATTGTGTTGAGTGTGCTGCATGGGTCACGACCATATAAAAGAAAAAATGGAGTAAAGCCTGTTGTTGATTGAATCGCCGTATTGTAGACGTAAGTCACGAAATGAAGAACAACGTCCCAATTGGAGTGGTCGGAATTAATATACATAGCGAGCATGTCTCCGAGGGTTCTATCAAAACGTTCCGTTAGGCCGTTCGTCTGAGGATGGTAGGCTGTTGATATGCGGTGTACCGTACGGCATGAACGTAAGAGCTGCTGCAGAACTTCGGACAAAAATACGCGGCCACTGTCACTCAGGAGCTCCCGTGGTGCACAATGACGAAGAACAAACCGATGCAAGATGAAGGTTGCAACGTCACGAGCACCAGCCTAAGTAGCGCTGCTGTTTCAGCGTACCTTGTTAGATGGTCGGCAGGCACAATCACCCATCGATTACCACCAACATAGCACAGTAGTGGGCCGTAAAGGTCAATCCAAATACGATCAAATGGGCGAGCAGGACATGGTAATGGCTGCAGTTGACCGGATGAATGAGGAAATGTCTTGCGCTGCTGACACAGGGAACATGAGCGAATGTGTTTGCGTACAAACGTGTACATACCCCGCCAGTAGTAACGTTGGCGGATTCGTTCATACGTCTTTAGCGCACCAGCGTGTGCGTGTACAGATATCAGACCGCATATGGCTGGGTATGACTAGCAGCAATTTACGACCCACCACTTGGTAGTTGCGACGGTATAGCAGCCATCCCGTATGGTGAAATGCGTTGCTTGGCGG